TAAAAAAAATCCCTTAAAAGTTCCTTGAAAATGGGGCTTGTAGTGGACTTGTCATGTGCTGAAGGATGGACTTTGGCAGCGGGATCAAGTGGCCAAGAAAAGTAGCATCACTTTTTGAAGAGGATGATTCCTTTCATCTCACTGAAGAATTATGAAAAAAGCAGCCTTTGCCCTCTTGCAAAAAGAGCTGATTCGAAGATCTTAAGGCATATCTTATGCAAGACATCACTAAAAAGCAGGCAGGAGTGTAAAAGCGTGATTCTTACGGAGGCATAACTTGTTCAGTGGGGAAGCTCTTCACTGGACAAAATACAACAAAATTACTTCAGAAAAGAACCCTGTATTTCTGACAATCTCATCAAGTTTCTGAATCATAATCTTCAGAGATGGAGCTTGTGTCTTAAGTTTGGAGTATACCATAGACATGAATATTCATCTGAAGTATTTGTCCCAGGAATTTAGTCTTGTTAGACTAATTGATTGATCTAGTTCTGCCTGGTAAATGGTAGTCTTTGAACTGCATCACATTATAGAGAGACTGTGCTTTCTGCTGGAGACTTGCTGTTAATGTCACATTCGTATTTTTGGATGCTTCCATCTAGTAATCAGAAGTTTGAGACATTTAAAACTGCACTACATCTATAATTCTGTTGCAGCCTTGTGTTTAGGAGGCAGACCAGAGATACCAGTCACTAATGAAAGATTTGAACACTGGTTTCCAGGCTTCACAGTAGGGCCAGGCAACCATCTTGTATTCTGTTCTTTTCTGCCTTCATCCAGTGGCTGGGTCACTTTGAAAAGAAAGTCTCTGCAGGCTATCAAAATTAAAGAGGCTAGCAGTTAACTAGAGTCTACTTACTAAATTTGTAATTCTTTCTTTGAGAAGAGGCTTAAGTATTTTAGCAGAAGCCTTACTCAAAACTCTTAGAGTTATGATGTTTTCAATTGTAGACCTTACTGTATATGGAAAACTGCAGGCATCCAGAATATAGTTTAAAATTCCAGAGTAGCTTACCTTGCATTTTCTTTTAAACTGGAGATTGAGATGATGTGCTACAAGTTGCGCTTTGCTGTTCAGTAACCTTTTCTATGGGTATTCCATAAAAACAACTTTTTCCCCTGTGAATTTAGATGCTTTTTTTGCATCTCTTAATCTGCTTTTTTAAAAGCAAATTCGCACGCTTGGAGCATGGTGAACTATGCTTCCATTACCCAAATATGTGTTTCCATCTCCAAATTTGTAATGTTGGTGGTTGGATCTGTACTATTTTTTCCTCTTCTCGTTAAAGATACCTGACACCTGTCTAAGGCATCCCTTTCCTGGAAAGAAGCAGGAGGAAGTTCCTCAGTCCTTGTGGCAGTTCCTTGCATCAGAGTGGAAGGACTTGTCCTATTTTATTGCTTTCATGCCCTCACTGGCTGTGTTTAGATCTTTAACCCTTTTATCTGAAATAGCCTCAATACTGCTGTCTGTTTTACTGTTTTTCCTTTTCCAAATGCTTATTTTCACATTGCAGGATAAACTTGGTCATGAAAAATACTGACACTTGTAATGGCCTTTTTCACTTGTCATTGGAACTTAACAGTCTTGACCTGTCTGCAGCTGAGGATGTTGAGATCCTAGTCGAAGAAGCAATGGACTTGGGAGTACCAGATGTTTATAGCCCACCCTAGGCTTAGTTGGAAGAGGAAATCTTAAAAGGAATGGTCTCTTTAGTCTGGGAAATGTGACTTGAGATGGGGGGCACTTCTGGAGACTTTGAAGTTACATTAGATCTTCTCATTCAGCTTCAATCCAGTTAGAGTAATACTCAAAGTGCTGAATCTTTGGACTTCTGTAAACTGTTACATTTTGCAGCCCCTGCAAGAATGGTCATGTTTATAACTGCAGAGTGAATTGTGTGTAACCCAACTGGCCTGTGACATTTCACTGAAAACTCATATTAAGAATGATGGTCAAATATAAATGTATAGAAAGCATTTCTAGCTTTCATTCAATGGCTAGTAAAAATCCTTATTAATTAATTTCTGTCTGTTTTTCTTCTACTACCAAGTAGGGAGTGTGTATATAGATCTTATATCTAGTTTATAATTTCTAAGTCCAGAATTCTGATGTTAGGAATTTCAAACTTAAGTTCTGTTGGGCTGAAATATAAGGCTGTTACAGTAATAATCAAGAAGGCTGTTGTAGTAATAATCAAGGGC